GCCCCGAAGCCTGGTCCGCCCACCCGCAGCCCGTGGCCCTGCAGGGTCTGAACTGTTGCAGGACATCACTCTGCAGGTCCTCCCGGGTGATTGAGGAAGCTGACACACGGATGCGAGGCCTTGGAGAGGACCCACGGGGTGGTGATCCGAAGTCACGTTACACGTAGTGTTTATTATTGAGGTTCTGTTGACTAGGTAACTTGCCAGCCAGGGACTTAGCTAATTGGATGGTTGGTAGGGAGGCAACATTATTCTGTGATTTCTCTCTCTCTCTCTCTGCCCTCCCCTCCTCTCCCCCCATTTTTTTCCTATTTCTTCTTGCCTTTCTGATCATGAGTTAGGGAGAAAGACACAAATATTAGGGAGACATTGTGCACCCAGAAGGGAAGAAGCTGAGAGAATCATTTGCCATAGGCTCATTCACGTGTCAGGTTAAGCATATATAATATATATTATATATTATATGCACACATATATTTTAAGGCAGGTGTCTGATTTTCACTGTTTGCTGAATTTACTGATCTGATTGGAAGTCAGGCTTCGAAAAAAAGTCAATTTCTTTTTAAGGAATAATATCAATAGGACCTAATTCGAATATTAAGTGTAGCAAATACCAGCTCAGTCAGCATCATTGTAGTCTTGTACCTCTTAGAAAAATATTTAAATCAATGCAAACTAATTAGCATAGTTTTCAGAACTTTTGATTTGGAAGCACTAATGCTTTACTCACTAATATGACTATTAATGTTTTAAGTACATGAGCTATTAAAAGAGAATTTGTGGATGTCCACATGTGTTTTTAAATGCCTTTCTGCAATTTCATCTTAACTTTTTTCCTGTTTAAGGCAGCATTTGGGAAATGCTGCAAAGGGGTTAAAAGTTAGATAAATTCATGGCTCTTTAGTTATGCATATTACTTTAGGTGGTGGTGAACTTCCTGACCACGAGGAAGCTTCTGAATTATGACTGCTAATCGGGTCAGATAGTCCCTTATATAAAATTTAATTCTCCCACTCAATGATTTATATTTAGAATATGGAATAAAGGGAATTTAGTGATAACTGTAATTAACTATTTTTAATATTTTGTGCTATAGAAAAACAGTCGTGGCTTTTTAAATTTGCTACATACAGCACTAGTATTTACGTTCTTTAGTTAGAAAAACTCGCTTCTTAGTGGGCCTGGTGGCTCACACCTTTGATCTCTGTTCTGAGGCCAAGAGGTGGATCTCTGAGTTCAAGGCCAACCTGGTCTATGGAGTAAGTTCCAGGACAGCCAGAGCTGTAATACAGAGACCCTCTCTCAAAACAAGACAAAAATCCCCCTTTCTCTATTTCCACATCTCTGGACCATGGTAGGTGTAAACAAGACTTAGTGCTCTGGCCATGCAGCGCAGTGTGGAGGAGGAACAGGCTTTCCCTCTTAGAAGGACAGGTGCGCTGCCTCCTTCTCCTGTGTCTGCTGCAGCAGAGTGAGGTCCAGTTCTAGTGTGTAGTCTCCTCCATTCCCATCTTTTCCCTAAGGATTTCAGACAACTTAAACCTTTACCTTTCTATGTCACTATGATGGAAACTTTTATTATTAGAATGATTTAAAGTGGAGTTAACTTAAAAATATAGGCTGGACTCAGACTGGGAATTGAATGTAGGGCCCTTTCCATGCTTACGTTAGGGCTGCACCCATGAGTTGCAATATCCTAGTCTTGTATTTTGCTTTGAGAGAAGTCCTTTCTTAGTTTCCTTAGGCTGGTAACATTTGAACTCTAGTTCAGATAAGACTTGTATTTATTATGTGATCCTCCTGCCTCAGCTTCTCTAGTAGCAGGATTCTAGGATTGCATTAGACTTGGCTTTGTATACTTTAGTTTAAGCACAAAATGCATAGCCTTGTTAATTTAGAAAAGAAATTGATTATAATATTGTGCATATGTGGCTGCTGTATAGTCTGTTATTGCAGGCAAGCCCTGAAGCAGTTCATTCATTACTGTTCTATTAAGTTGTGTTTTGCAAAGTACAGAAATGAAAAGAAGTCTGAATTACAGGCTTGGGAGGAAATCATGTTTTCAAGTGCTCACAGTGAATTTGGCTTTTAAGGCATCAAAATTTAGCTCATGGTAATAATAGCTATCATTAGTATTGTTGAGACAGGGTCTGTCTGTTGATTCGGTTTCCTGAGTGCTGGGATTACAGGTGTGTGGCACCACACTCTAGGCTAGTTTAAAGAATTATCATGACTGTTTGTTACCAAGACATTTTTAAACCTTCAGATACTTAAAATATGAAAGTTGAGTGTCCTGACACACACTAGTAATTTCAGCACCTAGGAGGTTGAATCAGGAGGATTACTCTGAATTTGAGACTGGTCTGGGCTACATACTTTGTTCTAGGCCAGACTGAGCCATATTATACAACCCTGTCTGAAAGAAAAACAAAACAAACATGTTTAAAATATGAAAGGCTTGCTGATTCTTAGGCTTTCTAAGACTGAACTACCCCAGTCTTATTTCCTGTTTAGCAGAGAGCATTATCTTGGAAATAAAATGCTAGAGATTGTGAAGCCAAGAATACAGCCTTTTTTAAAATTAATCTGCAAAATGTGAAAAAATTTCAGTCTGAGTCATCATCTCCTATCAACTTCCTCCTCTCATAATTTCTCAAAGAATTTCTCAGTCCTTCACCACTATATTAAAGATACTGTTCCTCTTTATTATCATGAATTGAATGAGAGCTAATCCTTTGGCCATTATTGTCAATTCTTATACAATGAGAGAGAGTCAGTCGTCCTTATTTTGGAAGACTTCCTGAGATCCAAGCTTGAATAGAACAGCTAAACTGAGCATGGATTAATCATTACCAGGTACTGGACTTGATGTCATTGCAGGTGTTCACTTCTTTCAGTGACTTGGAGTCTCACCCAGTGAGAAGGACAGCTTAACTGTATGGACCACCCTGCCTTGAGTGCTCCTTACTGCATGGAGGCCATTCTAATAGAGGCCTCTTTCTCTCATTCATATTTCTCTCTCTCCTTTTCTCTCTCTCTTTCTCTTTCATGTCTTGTATTTGAAAAGCATAAGGAAAGAGAATGACTTTACATGATTTCTTCTTTAGAAAATTTCAGAGCAATTGGAGAAGAAAATTTAAAACATACTCGTAAGGTGATCCATGGAAAAGTGTAAGAGTGGATTAGCAGTGGTTATGCCTGGACATAACCAGAGGAGCTGCATTTTTACTTTGGTATTGGAGTCTTTTAATTTAAGAACTTAGTGTTTACAGTATTACAGGTGTGTGGCACCACACTCTTGGCTAGCTTAAAGAATTATCATGACTGTTACCGAGACAGTTTTAAACCTTCAAATGTTTAAAATACGAAAGTTGGGTGTCCTGACACACACTAGTAATTTCGGCACTTAGGAGGTTGAGTCAGGAGGATTACTCTGAATTTGAGACTGGTCTGGGCTACATACTTTGTTCTAGGCCAGACAGCCATATTTTTAAACATCAAAAAAAAAAAATTAGCAGTAGGTCTTTAGCATAATAGAATCTGCTTCAGTGATGTATTTGTGGAGGTTGCTTTTCTAGCTGGTTCTGTTGATAATGCCCCATGGTATGTTTCATTTTTCTCGCTCTGAGTAGGCTGAGTAGAAGGTAGGATGGGGCCTTATGGGTTTAAGACATGTTTTATGGGGGAAGTTCGGTTAATTTTATTGACCTGTATTTTTTTCTTTCTATCTTGTTGAAAATTATTTAAAGATGAGCATATTTAGTGTTTTAAACTAAGGAAAACCTCACTAACACAACCCTCTTCCCACCCCAGTGGTTCAGATCACTGCTTTTCGACTTTGCACTTTGGGGATTTGGGGCTGCGTACTTATTTCTGTGAGGGGCACAACAAATAAGTGAAATGTAGGTCATTTAGCAGCATCCCCAACTTTTACACCTTCGCAGTTGGTGGCATCCAACTCTGTCTTAGGACGTTATCAATTATCCCTTAAGGGAGGAGTAACATAATCTTGGTTGAGAATCATGGATTTAGGTTTCATTAAATTGTCTTAAAGCAGTTTGTACTTTGCCTCCTAATGACGACTCTACTGTTAAATACTTAGTCTTTACCCAGGTTACAAGCTCAGTGAGAGCAGTGATGGAGTTGCTTCAGGTCCTCGGCATACAGATGACCTTTAGATACGGTGTAGAACCCTCTTGAGCACGTCTCAAGTAAATGAGGGAATGATGACTTACTAGGTAACTTAATGCTAGCTAATATTTCTGGACACGTGGTTTTAAAATGCTGAAGTAATTTTATTTTTTAACTTGGATTTTTAAAAGACTCTTTTAGTAGGAAGAGTCTTTGACTAATTGAATACAGTTATGTCTTTTGAGGACCCAGTATACCTCTTAAGCATTTCTTTAAAGGTAAATTTTAGGACATTGTAGAAATATAGATTAGGGGTCGGGCAGTGGTGACGCACAACTTTAATCCCAGCACTTGGGAGGCAGAGGCAGGTGGAGCTCTGTGAGTTTGAGGCCAGCCTGGTCTACAAGAGCTAGTTCCAGGAGAGGCTCCAAAGCTACAGAGAAACCCTGTCTCAAAAAAACCA